ATTCCTTCTTCATCTGGAGAACAGTCCTACTGTATCTTTTTAGAATTTATAGAAAATAACACCTACGTTTTTATTAACACACTGTTTGATGAATGTTCCATAATTGGGAAAAAGTAACATACCTAGATGGAACTTCCTATTTGTATACAATTTACAGATTCAGTGCAATTTTGATGAAACTTTAAATGGTGTTCTTCAACAAAATGGAACCAATACTGTTCCAATTCATATGGAATCACAAAACCTTGAGTAGCGAAAGTTCTCCTGACTGAAAGAGAGGAATCATGGAGGTCTTACACTCCCAGACATCCAACAACATGACAAAGCTGTTCTCATAAAAACTGTGTTGGGACAACACCAGACACAGAGACCAATGGAATCAAATTTAAGCCCAGAAATAAAACCACACATATATGGTGAACTAACTTATGACACAGGAGCAAAGAATATACATTGGAAAAAAAACAGTCTCTTCCGTAAATGATACTGGGAAAACTGGATTGCAACATGCAAAAGAATGGAACTAGACCACTACCTCACACCATACACAAACCAACTCCAGTGGATGAGATTCTTGCATGTGAAACCTGGCACCACAGAGTACACAGAAGGGAACGTAGGCCAACACTCAATGACATGATCCTCAGAAATGCCATTGAGGAGTTATCTCCAGAAGCAAGGAAACCAGGGAGAATGTAGACAGCTGGGACTACAGAAAGCGACAGTCATCAACACAGTCATCAACCCGCTGCATGAGGGAAAATATCGGCATACAGCATGACAGCTACGGGACTGATGTCAAAGATCTACAAAGAGCTTACATGACTCAACAAAAACAAACAACCCAGTCAAAAAAAAATGCCAGAAGTAAAAAAAAAACACTTTGCCAGAGAAGAAATGCAAATGGCCAGCAAGCACAGAAAAGACATTCAGCATCACTGATATCAGGGAAATGCAAATCAAAACTACAATGAGCTGCCACCTCACTCCACTGAGAAGGCTCCACATTAAAAAAGGGAAATTGGAAACAACAAATGCTGGAGAAGCAGCAGAGAAAAAGGAGCCTTTGACACCACCGGTGGGAGCGCAAACTGGTCCAGCCACTATGGGCAGCTGTGTGGAGGTTCCTCAGAACACTGAAAACGGGCCTACACATGATCCAGCGTTCCACTCCTAGGAATCTACCTAACGGACAAAAAAAAAAAAAAAAAAACCCAGGAAACCTGAACTGCTGTGTTCATTGCAGCCCTATTACAATAGCTGTGACATGGAAACAACTCAAATGCCAGAAAACAGATGAATGGATCAAAACACTGTGGTATAGTTACACCATGGAATATTACTCAGCAATCAAAAAAGACACATTCATGCCACTGGTGGCAATACAGATGGAGCTGGAAGGGATGATGCTAGCCACAAAAAGGCAGGAGCAAGATAAATACCAGGTGGTTTCACTTACGCGCAAAATATAGAGAAACTGAACAAAAGGTAGAGAAAAAGACAACCCTAGCAGGCTGACCAAGACCTGAGGCACCCAGCGGGGATGGGGAGGGAGGGGGTGTACAGATGGGAGGGAGGAGCACAAGGGATTATGGTAATGGGGCACGGGTGCTATTTTGGTGGGCGCACTATGGGGACCACCCCTGAGGGGAGACACCAATAACTAAAAAAATGAACAACGATGCAAGAAAAGAGGAAAAAAAAGAGAGATGGTCTCCAAGGACAGGGAAGACCCTAAGACAATATAAATAAATGCTGTAAAGGGGATCTCACCTGAGCAACGCTGGAGGCTCTGCCGAGGCATCCCCTCCTCACCAGTTGTTCTCGATCTCCAGGAATTGCCTCTGGCCGGTGCAGCAATTAAGCCTGCTGTGTGGGAGCAATTACAAAAAGGCTATTTTTATTTTTAAAGATTTATTTATTTATACAAGAACTGCAGTACAGGCCAAGGTGCGGGGTGAGAGAGTTCACCTGGAGACAGCGTGGGGAGCAGAACTGGCCAACGGACTGAAATCCAGGGCTGAGGGGGGCGAGTGGAGGGGATGGGGAGGTCTGCTGCGCCCAGTGGGCTGCTCCTGGCCCGCGGGGGTGGACTCGTCCTGCAGGGGCTGGCCAGAGCTGGGGATCTCCATCTGTACCTCCTGCCCCCGGGGAAGCCCATGAACATGACCTGAAATGGTCCCCAGTTCTCATGGTGAAGCTGAGCACGACCCGAGCTGCAGGAGAGACGGCGCTGCCACGGGGATCACGATGGAGAGACCGAGCTCAGGGCAGCGTCCTCCTGCCCCCGGGACGGAACGGGGGCTCCTGACCCCCAGCTCCACCCTGCGCGGGCAGCGGCTGCCGGACCGACCCGGGCCGCCCCGGCCAGGGCCTCTCTGCCCGCCCACCCTCAGCAGACGCGGCGCCGCTCAAGGCCCCGCCCGGCCCGCGACCCTGAGACACCAGGGGGGTCCAAGCAGAGGGGGGGCACACACACCCCGCCCGGCCCCCGCCCCCCATGTCCAGCTGCTGCATCCCCAGGACTCCCCAACCCTCGAAGCACCCCCAGCCCTGGCCGACACTCACCTGGGGCTAGAGGGTCACGTGCACCCTCCGCTCACACCCCCAGGAACAGCCTGTGCCCCGAAGATGCCCTGGGCAGAGGGGAGGTCACTGTCAGGGAGGACACCCCAATGTAGCCACAGGCAGACGGTGACTGTGCCCACGGCCAGGAAATGCAAACAGCCCCCTCCCCCCCGTCACCCCAATGCCAAGCAAGCCCCGGGCAAGTCACATCCCTGATGGGGAAAAGCCTGCACCTGCCCCTGCTAAGCTGAGAAGCCCCAGGCGCCGCCCAGGTGAGCCAGACCCCGCCCCCCCACTGCGCAGGTGCAAAAGTAACACTGCCCCGGCCCTGTCCTGCAGGTCAGCCACTTAAGTGCAACGTTTTCTCTGGTGGCACCATGAAGCAGATGGCAAAGGGACGATCTTACCTAGCGTCCCATCAGCGTAAAGGTGGAAGAATATCCTAATATTATACGATCAATAACTGGTCATCTATTCTATGATAAAATGCTTTGCCTTTCCACCTGAAACATTCTTTCTTCATCTCTAGAGAACAGACCTACTTTGTCTGTTCTAGAAATTATAGAAAATAACACCTTTTTAGAAACTACAGAAAATAACACCTACATTTTTAATTAACACTCCGCTTTATGAATGTTCCATAATTGGAAAAAGTAACAAACCTAGATGGACTTCCTATTTGTAGGCAATTTACAGATTCAATGCAATTCCAATACAATCACAATGGTGTTCTTCAATAAAATGGAACCACTATGGCTCAAATTCATGTGGGATCACAAAAACCTCTAGTAGCGAAAGTTCTTCTGACAAAAAGGGTGGGGGAGAAAGGAGCTATAGGAACAGGGGTGGGGCGGCAGGGGCAGGGGAGGGTCTGCAGGTGCCGGGGCGGGGCTGCAGGGGAAGGGCTGCAGGTGCGGCGGCAGGGGCGGGGCTTCAAGTGCAGGGGGGGGGCAGGCCTTAAGGTGCGGGGACGGGGCTGCAGGACCAGGGGAGGAGCTGCAGGGAGGGTGGGAGGAGCTGCAGGGAGGGTGGGAGGAGCTGCAGGGAGGGTGGGAGGAGCTGCAGGGAGGGAGGAGGGGCTGCAGGAGCATGGGTGGGGGCGCTCCAGGCCCGGGGGCAAGTGGAACGGCCCTGGGGTGCTCACCGGGGCGCCCCCGCCCGTCCTGCTGCGGCTGAAGTTTAGAAAATCAAGCGGACGCGGAGGCGAAGAGCCCACGTCTCTGAACATGCTGTGAACCTAGAATTTCCGCAGCCAGTAAAACAGCAGATCGTGTCCACGTGCATCACAGACACGCGGGGGACACGGACCCGGCCACAGAGGGCCCCGAACCCGCCGCCCCCCACGGTGAGAGAAGGGGCCGCCCGCCCCGGCGCCTCCTCATGATTCCCCACGAGGCCGCATTTTCCCGCCTCACCACGAGGCGGCGCGCGCTCCATCTCCTGTGCTTTGCCCCCCTGGGGCTTCTCCTTCCTCGGCCAGCAGGCCCGCTCCGCCGGGGCGGGCGCTCCTGGCTTCCGCGTCACCGCCACTTCTGTTCCTGTCGCTGCTCTCGCGTCAGCGCGCATGGCCATGACACCAAAACGCAGGGGGCGGGGCAAGGCCGAGGAAGGAGAGGCTCGTGGGGGAAACCAGGGGCGGAGCAGCGGCGCGCGCCGCCTGGTGGCGCGGAGGGGCGGTGCGACCGAGGCGGGACATGGGCGGACAGAGGTGCTGGGGCAGTGGGAGGCGCAGGGGGGACGGAGCCGCAGCTGAGAGCGAGTCAGCCAGGCGTGGGGGCGGGGGTACGCAGCCCGGAGAGTTGTGGGAGGCCCGCGCATAGGGGGAGCAGGAAGCCTGAGTGTGTGACGTCAGAGCCCTGAAGATGGGGAGATAGAATGACATAGAGGCAAGAACCCTCTGACATAGCGGTTCTTGCGCATTCGGGGAAGAGAACAAGGTGGTGTCGAGCTTCTGGACTGAGCTGCCAGCATTTGGGATGTTACACGTGTGTGTGTGTGTCTGCATTAAAAGGAGGAGTCATTCAGGTTTTGAGACGCGACCTGATGAGATGCTTTTACACACACACACACACACACACACACCTTTATTTGTAAACATGCTAACCAGCATTTTCTCATACTTATGTTGTAGAGCAACCCCGATACAAAACGGGGTGCCTGACTGTGGGTCCTCACCCGTGCGCTTAAAAGGACTTATCAATGCTCTACTGCAGGCACACGCGAAAGGTTAATAAAAGGTTTATTTACAAGGGAAGGGCAAATGAGGAAATGTACAGCTCAGGGAGAAAAGTGGGAGACAAAGTTTTAAATGAGTCCTACCCAATCCTCTGATCAGGAATCCCAAAATGGCGCTCTGAGATCCGGCTGCGAGCCAGGGGCTGTGAAGCCAGGATGCGAGCAACAGCGAGCCAGCCCAAGGCCCACGTGTTTGGTTTTTATATCCAACCTGGCTGCCCAACAACACCCTCAGGTACCAGCCACCCTCCCTTTGGTGGTGACGGGATTTGTCTTTCCCAATGTCTTGATGGCTTTTGTCTGGAGTGGGGGTGGGGTCCACAAAGTCTATATGGGATGAGCTCAGGACATCATTTCCCCCTAACACTTACAAATACTGGAAACAATCTCAGTCAAAACCCCGGGAAACAGTGAACTATGTAGCACTATGTGCATGAGACCAATGGAGCAATGAGGCACCATCATTCTGAATAGTTTCACATGACTTGGAAAAGACGGAGGAAAAATATAAAATGGTCGTATAGCCTTATTCCAGATATACAGTGAACATAATAGGACTGAATTAAATTTTAAATCCCAGACAAAATGTAAATCATGTGTTATGTTTGCATTGAGTGATACACACTTAGGTGATGAGCTGTCATGAAGGGCGAGGGAAATTATGATAATGACAGCCACATATTCCTGCGTACTTGGGGAGGGAGATTATGATATAATGTGGTCTTAGGTTTCTTCACCCAGTTAATGGGAGTTCCTTTTCGTAATTCTAAAATTTCACACTTACAGTCTCTGCCCTTACACACGGGTGTTATAGTTCACAGTTCAAAATATTGGAAATTATGTGGAAGAAAGAAAGCTAATTCTTAAAATTATCTATTTTAAAAAGATTTATTTATTTAAATGCAAACAAGAACTGGGGTCTAGGCCAGAGATGCAGGAGGTGAGAGGACTCACCAGAGACAGAGTGGGGAGTGGAACAACAGGGGATCTACTGAAACCCACTGCAGCGGGGAGCAGTGGAGAAACAGGAGAGGTCCGTTGTGCATCATGGGTCAACTCTCTGGCCGGGGAACAAACTCAGGCCATGATGGCTGGCAATAGCTTGATAGCGCTGAGACTTTAGCTCCTGCACCACTATGGAGACTCTAAAAGTATTTATCTTTTGAGGAAAAATCACAGCTCACTGTTCCTCATTTTATTTTATTCTAATGTTCAAATATTCCACAATGTACACAGCTCCCTTTCAGTTTCAGAACCAGTCAACCTAAGCAATTTTAAACATTGGTGAATCTCTGGTGCAATCACCCCCTTGCTCCTTGGCAGATGAAATGTAACCATAGATTTTTTCAAAGAAAGCCTTAAAAATTCTGTTGCAGTTACAGAAAAATGTCTAAGGGTGAAAATATGGCCTTCCTGATAGTAGAGCAGGGTTGGGAAGAGCAGCTGCATATCAGTTAGCATCAATGTCACCTTGTTGTTTTTTTGTTAATTTGTTTGTTTGTTTACTGAGGGAGATATGATAAGGACAATTTGTAAATCTTTACTAACCCAATATGGAAGGTTCCGGCAATCTAGGGTGGTGTCAGAAAAGATGATCAGCCAGAGGTGGGGGCAGATAGGATTATAAAACTTAAAAGACCAACCCATTCTGAACCAAGGCAATAATTTCCACACTCATTCCATCAAAGAACATTATGAAAGAACACCCCTTCCCCTGGCAAAATGCAGATTTTGTTCTTTCAGAGCCTATCTGTGTCTATGCAGACGTCTCTCTTTCCTGCTCTCTTTTCCTCAATCACCTTGGCATGTCCTGATGACAGGGAACATTACTGAATTATTTGTCAGAGGGATCCAAGGGGGTGTGAGGATTCGCCAGAGACAGAGTGGGGTACAGAACAGCCAGATATACTGAAATACACTGCTGAGGGGAGCAGCAGGCGAGACCGGAGAGGTCTGCTGTGCCATGTGGGTAGCTCCCTGGCCAGGGATAGAACTCATGCTGCAGTAGCTGCAGATAGCTTCATAGATTGTGTCTTAATCCCTTGCATCACCAGGGAGCTCCTGAAAAATACACTTTGTTTTAAAGATTTATTTGTTTATGCATGCAAGAGCTGGGGTACAGGCCAGAGATGCGGAGGGTGAGAGGATCCACCAGAGACAGAGTGGGGAGCCGAAAAGGCAGATCTACTGAAATGCACTGCTGAGGGGAGCAGCGGGTGAGACAGGAGACAGGAGAGTTCTGCCTTGCCATGTGGGATTCTCCCTGGCCAGCCAGGGATTGAACTTATGCTGCAGAGGCTGTGCATTGCTTCATAGTGTGGTGCTTAGACAGTTGAGCCACCAGGGAGGCCCTGAAAAATGCACTTTTTTGATATACCAACTGTCCATACTATTGATGAGATCAGAGTATGATCACATAAAATATAAAAATATTTCCACGTGGAAAATATATCATTCTTTTCCCTATGGGAGTATCTAGAATCTCTGTTCATCTCCACACTAAAAAATTCAAGCTCCACAAAATAGGACAAAACCAGGCTCTTCAACTCTTAATTATGTGGTTTTGAAGGGAGAAGCAGCCAAGTCCCGAAAACTTAACATAGGTGTATTGAGCCCTTGAGCTTTTATCCTTGGAAACAGGTGAAACACTTCTTTGGGAATTGACTTCCCAAGGATGACCAACCCTTGCATCATCACCATACCCAATATATGAGGTGCCCTGGAAATATTAAGATGAAAGACAAGGCCACCCTGTCTACCATGTTCTCAGAACTCACTGATATTATTTATAGCCATCACTCCAGGCAAATTTCCATTTACCAGGATTTTAACAAAATTACTAGTTTCATTTATTTATATATATTTTTTTAAAATGAGTGCACACAAATTTAAAAAGAACTTAGCACAAAGAAAACATAAACTACAGAAATTTCTGACTTAAATAGCTTTCACATTTTTCTTTTGAAAAAAAATTAAGTTTGACAAATTTCTAGACAGATAATATTGGAAGAAAGATCTTTTCTAGCCAACATTGACCACAGTAAGTATTATGCTCAAAATTAAAGGGTTTTATTTAGAATCAAATAAAATGGACACCATCCAGAAAAGCATCACAACATGTCATTCCACATGGAATTAAGAGATGCTTGTAATTGTGGAAAGAGACATACAGATTTAATGGAATCAAGGCAAGGTTTTATGACAAAATTTCAGGAAATAAATTTCACAGAAATTTGATTTTAAAAGGTTAACTTTGGAAAAAATTATCTTCTGGAAATTGGTACTATTATTAATTAATATTAACAACTCTAATAACCCATTAAAGTTATTTAAGTTTGAAGTTTATTCATCATTACATAAAATAACATTAGAAACAAAGGATTAGAAATTGTAACTTGAACTATACTTTTATTGCTTTTTTAAAATATATGTTTGTTTCAAGCTTGCTGAAATTAGTTATAATAGGGAATATGGTATTTGATAAGCTCTCTGCAGTCAATCTTGTAGAATGACAATGTCATCATTTAGCACTTCTGACTCAGGATAAATTTGTTAAATTTCCTATGTCTAAACCTCTTATAAAAAATGGATAAGCAACACTAATCAAAAAATATTTATATTTGAAATAAATGTGTTTAAAAAAGAAACCCTAACAGTGTCAGTTTCTTTCCAATTAAGTGATATATCTGGTTTTATTACATCATGAATTGTAATCAACTTTTATCCAAATTGGCAATCAAATTGTATTTTTTTCAATCGTATATTTTGTAAACCACTCATTAATATCAATCTGGAAACATTTAACTATTATATACATATACATGCCATAATATATGTATATTATATGTGTGTGCCATAATATATATATACATGTCACAATATTCATAAGTACCTAAACATTTATGATGTTATATCTACTGAGTATCAACTTTAACTTTTCAACAGGTAAAAGCAGTGGAGCATAATGCATAGAAGAAATAATACAGATGTGCCTTACTTCATCCTGTTGGGATTTACAGATGCTGAAGACATCCACCTGGTGCTCTTTGTGCTCTTTCTCCTGATATACCTGGTCACTGTGCTGGGGAACGCAGGGATGATACTGCTCATCTGCCTGGATGCCCAGCTTCATACCCCCATGTACTTTTTCCTCAGTCACCTGTCTTTCATTGACTTCAGTTACTCATCTGTCATCTCACCTAAAACCTTAGATAATTTACTGACCTCCAACAAGAAGATTTCATACATGACTTGCTTCACTCAAATGTACATTTTTGTCTTCTTTGTTGCTGCCGAATGTATGCTTCTCTCCTGCATGGCCTATGATCGCTATGTAGCCATCTGCAATCCTCTCCACTACCCTGTTGTCATGTCCACGAGACGCTGCTGGTCCCTTGTCCTCGGGTCCTATTTGGTAGGTTTCATAGACTTTTTAGTAACTGCACTTGGCATGAGGAAACTGGAATTCTGTAACTCCAATGTAATCCATCATTTTTTCTGTGACACATCCCCTATTATAGCCCTGTCTTGCACTGAAACCCAGTACACTGAACTCATGATATTCATTTTCGGTGGCTGCACCCTCATGGCCTCTCTTATCACAATAACAGTGTCCTATGTATCCATTCTCTCTGCTATTCTGAAAATTAATTCCACTTCAGGAAAGAGAAAAGCCTTCTCCACCTGTGCTTCGCATGTCGTGGCAGTCACCATCTTTTATAGCACCATGATCTTCAGTTACTTAAGACCAAATACATCCTACTCCTTGGGAAGGGATCAGGTGGCTTCTGTGTTTTACACTATTGTGACCCCCATGCTGAATCCCCTCATTTATAGTCTTCGGAACAAAGAAGTGAAAAATGCTGTCCTTAGACTCCTACAGAAGAGAGACATCTCCAGGCACTTAAAATAGTGATGCTGAACTTTTTTTTTTTAAATAATGTTTTTACTTTTTATCCAAGACATAATATACCTTTATAATATTTTTGTTATTCAGGTAGCATTGGTTTGCATTGCTGTTTATATGTTGGAAATAGGATCCCTTTTTCCAGCTGTGTTCACATGGTGCTCCCCTGACCAAAGCACCCATAGTCCACCCACATGGACCACTGTGCTCCCTCCCCATTTGTCCTTGTTCCTTTCCCTGCTCTTACTCCCCTGAATGTCTCATTTCCATAGTCAGGTTTTGGATTTTGCTATCTGAAACTTTGTCATGTTCCTCAATAATTCTCTGATATGAGTCACCACTGAGTATTTCTTTACTCCTTCTGACTTATTTCATGTGTTATAATCACTTTCAGCTCCATTCACGATGCTAAGATTTTAAGCTCCTCATTGCTTTGTTTACGATGGGGCATTTCCTTAAGTTATCATGAAAAATAACCGGTCCCTTTTATTTACTTGTGTTTCTTGGATTTATATGTTACTTCACCAAAATGATCTTTGGAATTCCAGAAATAAATCTTTAGAAGTCCATATTGCCATGAAAATCACAAAATTGTTCTAACGCTTATGGTCTCAATTTAAGGACAAGTGGTGCACAAAATAAGAAAAGAGAGTTGTCTTTTTTTTTTTTTTGTGGGACCCTCGCCAGCGGTCGGGAAATGAACGGGCGCTGCAGAGGCTGCGGGCAGCCTCACAGCCCAGCGCTCAACCGCTGCGCCACCGGGGGAGGCCCGAGGGTTGTTATCTTTTAAATATATCATATGTATACCTTTGCATCATCCAGAACTTTATTATGGGTAAAAGCTCCATTGTTCTCTCAAAAGGAAGTTTCAGGATTCATTGAATCCTTTATATTCAGAAGAAATATGGTAGAGTGACTATGAGGACTTCTTTGGAATTAGAAACTTCAATTTAGATTCTAGATCGGGTTACCTTTTAGCTATATAACCTTCAGTCAGAAACTCAAACTTAGAACCTGTTTCAAAAATTATACAAGATAAATAATAATCCCAGCCTCATAGCTTAGTAAAGATTAAACCAGGTCTAAATATAAAACTTTAAGATATTTCTCATAAATATTGATCATTATCATAAGACTGACATTATTGCAATATTTCTATGCATAATGGATTTTCTTAAGAATGTTCACTTGTGTTTTTATAAATTACTTTTGATTAATTTATTAGAAAATCACACAAAAAACTAAAAAGGAAAGTTTCAATGGTTCAAAAATGTGGACTTGTAATGGTATAGGTTAACATGGAGAAAACATGGAATAGAATGATGAATAGAAAACATAAGAATTTACTTAATAATTACTGACAGCTTAGTATCTATTCTTTAGTTATGTATGTGTGTGTATATATTGCATGTATTAGTAACATTTCTGGGGTTTCCTATACTGTTTCACAGCTTTCTGATACACTTTCAAGTTTAAACTTTGTTAAATTCTTTGTAATTGAAACATTTTGAGATGAATTATTCTAGTTCTGGGAGACCTCCAGATAGCATGCTGTAGACTTGAAGTGTTGTAAACCCATCAATCTAAAAGTCTGCATGCAGTAAAATCACTGTGGTGTCTACCTGCCAAACATTTAGTCCTTACCTTTCTGTGACTGTTAATACTTTTAGTCACTGCTTATTTTTTGAAATTCTGTATATTTTTACAAACCATTTCTTTCTACTTGTTTCTAAGATCTGTTATGCTCTTCACAAGTAAGTTATTGAAATAGACCCATTGTTCTCTTGTTTTACATGTAATGGAGAAATTTGTAGTGGGCTAAGTCACTTCCTGCTCCAGGAACTTGCCAGGAGCCTCAGAACCTTCATCCTTTACTGCCCAGTGAATTGTATGGTCTCATTGCTGTAATAGTTCCTTGAATAAATTCACAATGTGCATTTCACATAATAAGTTGTAAGTAAAACCATTTCACTCCAGCAGAAGTTAGCACTACACAGATCTGAACATTATGCAATAAATATTTATTCATTCTGTGGAATTTAACAAATAACAATACATCTCAGACACTGGTCTAGATTCTGGACTAGATTAAAAATAAGTCAAATATGAGTTAAGGAAATTAAAGTGCATAATATGTAAAGTAGTGATATTTACAATGGGTGCATTTAAGAAAGAAGACATATGAGGAGCTGTAAAGGAAGTGAATTGCAATGGTCATAATATAGTCTAAGACGTCTCACAAAGAGACATATTCAAGGAAGGAGTCATGTGAATATCATTGTAAATAGGGTTCTGAATAAAAAAATGCAGAAGAATTACAAGTGATATATTGGGAAAGAGATGCTCTTCTTAGCAGTGTTGGAGTGTCATTTAATTTCAACATTCATATTTAGGGAAATCACTTCAGATTACTGTATGTTTTAAAGAGACTTTTCAGTTGGCATCAAAACAGTTTTCACAGGGCCTCCCTGGTGGCTCAGCAGTTGAGCGCTGGGTTGCGAAGCTGCCCGCAGCCTCTGCAGCACTGGTTCAATCCCCGGCCGCTGGGTGAGTGTCCCACATGGCGCGCAGACCTCTCCTGCCGCCCGCTGCTCCCCTCAGCAGTGTACTTTGTCCATCTGCTTGTTCTGCTCCCTGCTCTGACTCTGGTGAATTCTCTCACCCTCCTGTGCTTATGACTGTACCCAGTGCTTGTATAAATAAATAAATAAATAAATAAATAAATAAATAAATAAATCTTTTAAAAAAAACAGTTTTCACAGAATAAAATTTATAGCAACAATGCTATTAAATATAATGATAGTGAAAATATGGGAAGAAGAAGACCACTACCACTTCAAAATAAGTTTGTGCTCATACACTTATACAATGAAAATGCAGTTTCAGAAAGGAAGACTAAACAAGCACATAGTAGGCTGCTTTTACTTCCTTGCTTTTCTTGGCCTGAATGCAAAGGAATTGTGGGCTCTGCAAGGGCATGGCAGGGTCAGAGGAATCCTGGGCAAAGCTGAGAGAAGACCAGTTCATCAGGGAGACCCATACACGTGGGCAGGAGTTCAGCTGTGGGAAGAGACAAATTGGCCAGTCTGTTGTAGCTTAGCCTTGAATGTTGCTTATCTCTTGTCATTCTTGATTTTAAGTGTAGTTTTAATAAATTCATGTGTTCATTTCACATGTGCCCAGTAAAAGTAGGAATGAATTTTTTGCTTATGGTCTAGATGAGAAAATAAAATAGGAAAAATACCCAGCATGGTGTTGACTCCAGGAATTTGGATCTGTGGTCCCTGAACAACAAACTCTGTTTAGATTCAGGCCAATGCATAAATCTGAGGAGGGAGTAGAGTGACAATGAATTCATAGAAAATTGTATGGAAATATGCAATGTAGTTTTGCATTGATTATTTTTTAATTGCCAAACTGGGCAAATGAAATAATAAAATTAATTTTACCTGCAACTATAGGAGGCTACTCAATTTAAGTCATTTTGATATTAAGGTTAATACTATACATTTAAAACTATATGTGACAATAAGACAAGAGAAAGACATATGAGGAATCCAAATAGGGAAAGAAGTAGTAAAATTATCACTGTTTGTAGAAAATATGATAACATACAGAGAGAACTCTAAAAACTCACAGAAAAACTACTCAAAATAATCACCCAGTTCAGTAAAGTAGCAGAATACAAAATCAACACACAAAAATCAGTAGCCTTCCTATACACAAATAATCAATCGGAAGAAGAAGAAATCAAGAAAACCATCTCTTTTATAATTGAAACCAAAAAAATCAAATGCTTGGGAATAAACCTAACAAAAGAGGTGAAAGACCTATACAAAGAAAATTATAAAACACTGTTAAAAGAAATTAAAGAAGACATAAAGAAATGGAAAGACATCCCCTGCTCATGGATTGGAAGAATCAACATTATTAAAATGGCCATCCTCCCAAAAGCAATATACAGATTCAATGCTATTCCAATAAAAATCCCAATGACATTCTTCAAAGAAATAGAACAAATGCTGATGAAATTCATATGGAACCACCAAAAACCATGAATAGCCAAAGCCCTACTGATGAAAACAAAGGAGAAAGGAGATATCACACTTCCAAACTTCAAGCTATACTACAAAGACATAATAATTAAAATAGTTTAGTATTGGAACCAAAACAGACACAAAGACCAATGGAACTGAATAGAGAGCCCAGAAATAAAGCCACAATTATATGAACAACTAATCTTTGACAAAGGAGCAAAGAATATGAATGGAACACAGACAGTTTGTTCACTAAATGGTGCTGGGAAAACTGGACCTCCACATGCAAAAAAAAATGAAACTAGACCAGTACCTCTCACCATACACAAAAATCAACTCAAAATGGATAAAGGAACTGGACATAAGACCTGAAACTATAAAATATATAGAAGAAAATATAGGTAAAACACTATAAGACATACATCTCAAAAACATCTTTAAAGACTCATCACCCAAAGCAGTGATAGTGAAAGCAAAGATAAACACCTGGGATTGCATCAAACTGAAAATCTTCTGTACAGCCAAAGAGACATTAACCAAAACAGAGAGACACTCCACTTATTGGGAAAAAATCTTTGCACTCCATTCAACTGATAAGGGACTAATCACAAAGATATACAAAGAACTCACAGGGCTCAACAAAAACAAAATAAACAATCCAATCAAGAAATGGGCAGAAGAACTCAAAAGACATTTCTCCAAAGAGGAAATGCAAATGGCCAACAGGCATATGAAAAAAGGTTCAACATCCCTTTTTATCATCAGGGAAATGCAAATCAAAACCACACTGAGATACCACCTTACACCAGTAAGAATGGCACATATCAAAAAAACAAGCAACAACAAATGTTGGCAAGGATATGGTGAAAAAGGAACTCTCCTACATTGCTGGTGGGAGTGCAAACTGGTCCAACCACTGTGGAAAGCTGTCTAGAGTTTCCTCAATCTACTAAAAATGGAGCTACCATA